AGGAATGCCCTTCAAATGCCCTTCACCTCGGTTTCTAGAGATTCAAGGTCAGGTGCTGAGGCTCCAGCCTGGCTTTCCCCGGGCCAGCTCACCACTACCGATCCGGCTGCCCACCCTGTGCCATGTGTGGTCCTGCCACATCCCCCGCTCCGACGCCGCAGTCCGTGCTGGCACCCCTCGGTGGCACCAGCCTCCCTCCCGTGCTGCCGACCCTGGGCACTAGATGAAGTTTCAGCCATAGAGGTAACGCTCTCCCATCTGCCTCCAACATGTTGCGTTTGACATGAACTAACATCTCCTATTAATACTGCAAGAAACAGATCTGGAAAAATTCATTTTCAAGCAGAGTTCAGACAGGGCAGAAGAAACCTCCCCACAAATGAGCGTGGAGAAGCCAGCGCCAGTGCGATGCCCCTGGGCAGACCTACCGGCAAGGGGTTGAAGTTCTGGTCCACCAGGTGGTTGTGGCCGTGGTCGAGGAAGGAGTGCCGCACCACCACGTCGATGCCCTGGCTGGCCAGCAAGCCCAGCGTGTTCAGCCACCTGGGGACAGAGGGAGCAGAGTCAGGCCACTGTGGGGGGAGCCCTCGGCCCCCGTGGCACAGCCGTGCTCCGGCGTACAGCATCGCTCTTGTGCACCCGACCTGGTGCCTGCTCTCAGAGCCTGAGCCAAAGCCTTCAGATGGTTTTGCGAGCTGGGTATTAACTGGCTCGCACCATCCCCGCCCCAGCAAGCCTGCATGCCTCTCCCCCCGCCACAGCCACCTCTGCCCCAGCTGTGCTTGGCTTGCGTGTCCTGACACCATGCCTGAGCCCCTGCGTGCACCCCAGCGTCACAGCCCTGCGCCCAAAGCCTGGGGTGTCCCCCCAGCCTGCCGGCACCCTGCACCCACTGTTTCAGCAGGGGGGACCAGACCATTGCACCAGCCTGTCTCCTCACACCCCCTGGGCAAAGTCTTCAACCCTTGCAGCCTGCCACAGCCCCAATACCCTGGGCACATCCCCAGAGCCTGGATAATCTTCCTCCATCATTTGTGATCACAGCCAGCTCTGAAGATCTGAACTGGGGCTTTGCAGCAGGATACCCATGCCATGGAGCTGTGCCGTAGACAAGCCCCAGGAGCCAGGAACGGTTGTGGCTTTGAAGAAGGAGAGAAAATGGTTTCCAGAGCAGAGTCCTGCTGAGCGCTTCCCTGGGCAGGTGCCCTGGGAGTGAATGCACGCAAGGACACGTGGCTGCAGCCTGAACCAAAAACGCAGAGAGGGAGGAGGCCTGGGCAATCCCGAGCTGCTGAGCGAGGCAAGCCTGTTGGGATGCCGGCCCTGGGTCCTGGAGTTGACATGCCTGGATCTCACCTCCCTTTCCACACTCATGCCCTGTGGGCACACCATGGGTACCTGTGTGGGATCCCGAGCAGTCCCCTCCTTACTCTCCTTCTCTGAGTACACCATAGTCTGGGTTACTTACAGAAAAGCAGAGCTGAGGAGGGGTAATAGGGATGCTACAGAGAAAATAACGGTGCCCAGGCTGCTGGGGGAGCACTGAGGGGGAGTACAAGTGGGGTCTCTGGGCACAGAGCTGGCCCTCTCCCAGCTGCAGCGGCTTTGCAGCACCCGAGCCCGCAGAGCCCGTGGGGGTGGCAGTGCCCTGGCACCGGCGAGCCGGTGTAACTCACAGGAACCCGGCCGCATAGGAATCGGAGAGGTTGTTCATGCCTCCGGCCGAGGTTGCGCCAACACCTTCCAGCCAGATCTTCTTCCCCGGCGTGTACGTGTTCACTACCTGCGCAAGACACAAAAGCAACCAAAATGACTCTCGTGAACCTGTGATTTGAAGGCAAGGCAGACAGCTCCTGTGCTATGCTCTGGAAGGCTTACAGAGACCTTCAGTAACGCCACTGCTGGGCAGTCAGTGCGTGCCCGGCCCTGGCACGGTCACTAGGTGTCTTCACCATGCCTGAGTGGTGGGAGACTGGTCCTCACTGGTCCTGCTGCCGCCACATGTCCGCTACCCATCTTCTGGAGCTGCTCCAAACACACCCTCCTAAACTTACTCTCACGCTCCCAAACCCAGGCCCTGCTTTTCCCCTGTGGTCTCCCCACGTGCTCTGTCCTGCAGGCTGTCCTGCCATGTCACCTCAGCAATCCACGTCCCCACACAAGGTGGCTGCCAGCTGCAGGGAGCACCCAAGCCCCGATGGCTCTGCAGTGTGGGAGCCCTGGGACATGTACTGGAGCCACATGGAGGGATGGTGAGTGCCCAAGAAGAAAGCAGTGGTTGTCCCCAGGTGGTGGCAGAGCCAGCCCCATGGCTAGGCAGGGGATGCTTCACCATTCAAGGGGTCCCTGGCACAGGCAGGATGTGCAGGTCCAAACCTGCTGGCCCACCCCTTACAAGGCTCCATCCATAGTGCGGACACCCCTGAGGTGCCAGGTGGGATGGGAGGGCTCAGATAGCTGGAGCTGCCCTCTCCCAGCATGAGCAACCTCCAGCACCACGCAACGCCCCGTCCTCTCTCCCGCAATCCCGCTTCTCCAGGCTGGGTGACGAGCTCCCGTGACCAGATGTCTGCAAACCCGGCGGCCTGAGGAGTGCTCCGCGCAGCCTGATGGATCCTGCCCCATTAGTGAGGAGCACTGGAATGTGCTGGATGGACTGGGATCCCTCAAAGATGTTAAATACGCCAGCTCTGGGCTGCCTCCCACTCACAGCCTGTGAGAGTCGACATCCCTGACTGAAGCCCCAGAGGTGTTGGCATCCTGCCTGTAATTATCTAAGCCCGCCACCTTCCCCCGTCGGAGAGGAAGCAATAAAACAGGGAAGTGGACAAGCCCAGCTGCTCTAATCAGCCCCGGCAGGATGCACAGACTCAAAGCCAAGCTGGAGGCTATTAGCACCCAGCGCTGCGCTATTGCTCAGCCACACTGGCATTCCCAGGAGAGCCCTTCCCTGGCCCTGCCCCGCGCAGACCAAATCCTGCCCCGTGGGTGTGAGGATTTCCCCAGCCTACACTGAGGATGGATGGGGTCCAGGGAGCCCCTAGGGTTTGTGTCCTGTCCTGCCGGGCTGTCACCACCCAGCTGCCCGTGACTGGAATGGTGGACACTGTCGACGGCCATCCCACTGTCAGTGCCTCGCTCACCGGAGCCCTCTGCCCAGCCCAACCCGGGGGCTCCTGCTCCCTTCCCAGCAGGTTCCCGACCCACAGCAGAGGTGGGACACGTGCCACCACTTTTGGTGAGGCTGTGTCCCCCCAGCGGGAACAAGGCCAGCCGGTGCCTCTCGCTTGCCCCTGTGCTGATCCTACCAGTCACCCCACCATGCCACCCCACAGCGGGAGGATCATCCGCATGCGTGGATGATTCCCAGCTTGCGCTGGAGGACTCGGCAAGCAGCTCCTCTCCTCCGGTTTTGCTGTGCCGACCCTTGCGTCCCCTTTCCTGGGGCCTCTTTGAGTTGTTTACTCATCCTACGGTTTCTCCCTGCAGGAATTACAACAGTAAGACATTGCGGTGACCAGTATGGTATGAAAACCTAGACAAGACAGACAGACGGTCATCTCCTCTAGTCCCTAAAGCCCTCCCTGCTTACTAGGTGTTCCTTATTTGTTATCAGACTGACAGCTGAGTGGGCCGGTCACAGTCCTGGCCCCCATATCAGCCAACGCGGTGGGACCTGCGAAGCCCCATCCCCTTCCCAGTCACTAGAGACGCGAGCCTGGTCCCCCCGACCAGCGGGGAGAGGAGAGCTCACTGCAGGCTGCGCTAGCCAGGCAGAGCCATGGGCTCTGACGCAGCACGCCAGCAACAGCTGGGTTTTATAACACAGTCAAAACATGATCATCAGGGAAAATAAAACAGTTGTTCATAATGATCATGATTCTCCACTAGTGAAAATCACCCTGGAAATGCAACTGTCACAACTTTGCAAGCAACATTTTTAGGCACTGTGAGCGAGTGGAGCAAAATATTGCAGTAGGAGCCCCCTCCTGAGCAGGCACGGCACCGGCTGTGCTCAGGAAAGTTTGGTACCACCTGGCTGCTCTCTCCTCTCCTTGTCCTCAGAAGCAAGTTTCAGGAATGGCTGGATGGGAGACTGGAGAGAGTCAGCTGCTTTAGAAAGGCTCTGCACGGCAGTGTCTGCCCCTGTCCCGTGCATCCAGCCCGTGTCCCGGCACACCTGCACAGCCCACGCCATGCTGCAGCCCGCAGCTGCTTCCCTCCCGACCCGCTGCACATCCTGGACTTTCCTCCCATCCCCTGGGAGGGCTGGGAGCACAGCCACCCCCAGCAGCCGCCCTCCATCCCTGCCCCACGCCAGCTCCCCTGGGAGCGTGTTGGTGCTGAGGCCAGAGCCCTGGCCACGAGCTGTGCCAATGCCGGGCACCACAAGCACGGTGCCCCCTCGCCCCTCGCAGACCCTTTGCACTCACGCACTTTCTGGATTTTCCTGATCTGGTCAGAGAGCGTGTCTAACAGGCGCGTTTTCAGGAAGTCCGTCACTTTGGCCACTCGGCCATCAATGTAGTAACTGGAAGGAAAATAAGAAGACAAGGATCAGCCAGCTGGGAGTAGCTCTGCCCCAAACCACATCCTCCTGTCCTGCTGCTGCCCCATGCCAAGAAAACTCCTCTGCTCCGGGGGAGTCTCAGCTTGCACCCTGCCCTGCCCCGCCCCAGCCCTCCAGCTGTGCCAGTGTCTGGCAGGTGCTTTCAGTCTCCAAAACAGGGCATGAGGTGGATGCACCCTGAACACTGAGCATCCTGCACTGCAGAAACCATGGGGAGTTTTGCACTTGCTTAACTATTGCTGGTGAAACGCTGGGAGCAGAATGCAAAAGGCAGGGAGCAAAACGCCACCTGCAAAGGCTTTGCAGCACCCTCTGCACTGATCTCATGGAGACACCATGGAAAGAGACCCTCCAACACGATGCCTGTGGTAGCAGCGCCTGGGCTCTACCGCCAGGGAGATCTTGGGAGATCTTCTGCTCACCCAGCTCATCCCATCTGTACCCATCCCCTGTCTTAGGGACACCCTGTTTCCAAAAGGCAGATAAGCCAGTCAGCCCTGGGCCCAGTATCATTGCTACTGGGAAGATTACTCTTATGGGACAGCAAAACAGAAGATGCACATCTAATGGCTGAAACGAAGAGCCCCTTAGCCACAGAACACTATGCAGACACCAGGGAGAAGGGTCCCAAGCAGCAAACACCCACTGAGCCACACTGGAAATTGCTGCAGTAAACACCCAGGAGGGGATGGGGGAAGCTGCCCTTGCTCCCAGCCATGGGAATAACTGCATCGCTCTGCCCGGGTTGTGGGACCCTCCCCATTCAATGGCTGGTCTGCAGCGGGGACTGTACAGAGACTCTTCTGGTCTGAGAACCAGAATTGCTCCTGGGCATCCTGCTGCAATGACAACCCTCCAGGCTAAGCCCTGACAGTGTTTCTGAGCAAGGATTAGTGATCATGGGGTGCACGGGCTGAGGTCCTACAGCACCAGAGTGAGCCCTCCTCCCAGCACCCCTGCACCACCTGCACCTTCCTTGCTCGCTCTCCCAGCCAAGTCCACAGCCGAATCCCTCACTTGAGAAATGCCGTGTCCGTTACCCACAGGGGAAGTCCTGCTCTCACAGAAATCCCTTCTGCCCTGGGAATGCCAGGGAGCGCTTCCCATACAGAGGGCTGATTCCTGCTCTCCATGTGCTTGCTTATATAAAACACAGCTATAGTGCTGCCAATCACGATGTGAATCATCTTTCTCTAAGTGTGGGAGGAAGACTCTGAAATGCCTCAATACTGTCTGCTGGTTCCAGGACATAAGGTGAAGCAGTCTATCCTGGAGTGCAAATACCCTGTGGCTGGAGGTAATCCCAACCCGCTCCTCCTGAGGAAGTCTCTGGGGCTGGCACCTCTGCCCCCACGCAAGGAGAACATCTCCCAGAGGCTCCTCCTAGACGTGCAGGGACACCAGGATGCCTGCTGCAGCATGCACTGGCATACCCCTGTGACGGCCGTTTGGCTGATAAGTAGGTTTTGCAAGAGAAACTTTCTGAATCTTCTCCTCCCAAATCTGCAGCGCGCATCAGCTGCTCGACACAGCGAGCTCTGGAGCATGTCAGAGCCATTCTGGGGTGATGGAGGTGCACGGGAATTACAGCACCTCTGGCTGGGGCTGGCAGGGCCCAGCTGCTGCCTCCCATCCCTTGCTGGAGCCACATCCACCAGAGTTACACAGACACTTCTCCCTCTCCACAGACTTCAGTGCAGCCATGGGTGCTGGCATGCATAACAGACCTGGGGTCTGAAGAAAGGTGGATTCAGCTTTCCAGGGCTGCTTTCTCCATAAAATGCATCTCACCCATACCAGCGAGCAGCTGTAGCGGCCGTAGTGGCTGCCTCACTTGGGTGCTGGAATGCAGGAGCATCCCCAAAGGATGCTGCTGGCTAACTCGGCCTCAGCCAGAGCACCTGGCACACGTGCAACATGCACGAGTGCTCAGAGAGGATTTTTGCATCTCACTGCTCCAGGTCACTACCCAGGTAACAGGGTAAATGTGCTTGGAGCTGTGCATGGCTGCGGTGAAAGGGGAGCAACACCAAGACTTGCTGGCCCAGAACAGAAATGCATTAAATGAGAAGTGTCTTCTGCCAATCCTCCCCCAGACGCACAGTCCCTGCTGTGTCCCCAGTGAAGCACGGGATCGTGCCCAGTTTCACTCCAATGTTGTGTAGCCCAGGGAAGGAGGAAAGAGGCATTTCTCTATGTCTGTGTTGACTGGAAGGTGCTAAGGGCAGAGATTATCTCCGGGGGGGACTTGGGAAGTGTTCGAAATCATTCCAATCACTTATACGCTATCAAACCACTGGCTGCTGGGAGGAGAGCAGATCTGTAAGCAGCAGGCAGTGGTGGGGTTTACAGAGATTACTTTTTAAGACAAAATTACAAAGCAATGGACTCTGGGGACGGCAGATGTTTGGATTTTAGCACAGCACTTAAGAACTGAACAGAAACTATTTTTTCAGACTGCTGTGGACTAAAAACCCCATCACCTGGGCTGAAAACTGGCTGAAAGGCCGTAAAAATAGGGTTGTATTAAATGTGAAAAGATGGAGTTAGAGAGACCTCAGTCTGCATATGGCCCGTCCAATGCAGCAGGCTTTTGGCAGGGTTCAGCTTGTCTGCACAAGCCGATATGGTCCCAGAAAAAAAAACCCTCGGAAAGCAAAGGCAGGCTTGCATCTCCTCATAGTCTTGTCCAAGCACAAGGTGTGCTCTGCCAAGGGAGAGGAACATCTCTCCAGGAGCAGCCCCAGAGGAGGCTCTGCCCTCCCAGGGACCACGCGGAGGAGGCAGCCTGGGAGGGTGCTGCTGTGCTGAGCACAGCCGAGACCCTGCAGGGAAGAGAAATGCCCCGGGACAGTGTCACAGTCACCTTCATTAACAGCCCAGAGAAATGGGGACTGGCAGAGGGATGAAAGGCAATATAAAACCTGCTTCAGTATCAGGAAATCTTGTTTGTAGCACGTCTCCTGGGGGAGCAAGGAGGGGAGCACCTTGGCTTTGGGTATTTAAGCAGAGCATGAAGATGATTACAAGCTTCTGTAAGATGGGCAACGATCTCCTGCAGATCTGCCTGGGAAGTTCTTGGACACCAACAGGTACTTTCAACCTTCCCAAACTGGGAAAGAGGGAAAATGGCACCAGTTGCACAAGGCTTGCGAGGAAGAGAGAGGCACTGAGGTCTTCACTGGTACCAGGCTACTCAGGAGCGGGTGAGCCCTTTCCAGCTGTAGGCTTCATCAGTGAGATTCGGGCATTTCCTTTTGCGAACTTTAACTGTCAGTAAAGGCAGTATAGAAATCTGCAAAATGCAGATAACTGACAAGCCTTTAAAGCAGGAGAAGTGCTCGTTAGGCGTGGATTATTCCCAGGAGCAAAGACTGCAGCTTTGCTGATATTTACAATGACTCAGTGCACTTGACTTTAAAAAAAAAAACAAAACTGAACAGTCACAACTTTCCAACCTCCAAAAAAGCCAGCAGCAGCTGCAGAGAGCTCCAGTGCTGACAAGTACCTCCCCAGGCAGCAACGCGGTGCACAGGCAGCCGGGCCGAGCCAGTCCCGGGGGCTGCAGCATCCACATCCCCCTCTCCCCACACCGGCAAGGTCTAAGCGCCAAAGGAGATGAATGGACAGACCCTCCCCAGCACGGGCAGGGGTCTCTGGCAGCCACGGCTCTGCAGAGGCAGAGGACACGTAGCTCACGGACAAGCTATGCAGCTCCAACACAGGCTGGCAGACCTTCCAGTGGGCTCCGAGTATGATGCGGCACCAGAGTTGGCCCTGAAGCCTAGGAGATTTCAGCATGCCCACCATGGGCACAGACTATGTTGTCTCTTGTAATACAGGAGAGAATAGATACGGGCAATTGCATGCAGAGCTGACTTGCTGTGTCCCCCAGTTTGATGGCACTATCTCTGTAGATGGACAATCTGCAGGAACTTGACAAGAGCCAGCCAAGGAAAAGAGGGATCTAACAACTAAATCCTAGATGAGATGTACGTCTCAGAGGAAAGGCCATGTACAGCCACTTTGGGTGCCCTATTATACTATACAAAGCTGAGGCCAGTTCTCCCCCTTTCGTTTACATTACCCCATTTCTAAAATCCCCATTTGAATATGCCCTAGAAACCCAGGATGGGATCAGTGCACTTTGCAGGGGGAGGTATGACTGTATAACTCCAGAGGCGGCCAAACCAGAGCACGGCACAGGGGGAGAACCCCGCCAAGGGCTGCGCAGGGATTTGTGCCAGCACAAGGGAATGCACCACCCCAATTCCCGGCCCCCATCCCTGGCTGGAAGTGCAGCATGAGACTCGAGACACAAAGACAAGAGCTGGGAACAGTGCACCAAATAAGCGGCTGCCAGAGGATCTACTGAGGCAGGGCTGAGCACAGCTGCCAGCCAGAAGTGCCCTTGTTCTTGGGCAGGCTGCAAGGCCAGGGCACACAGAGCCCTCCCAGAGAAAGGCAGTGCCAGGCACCTGAGCGAACCTGGGGCTACACGTCTCTATCCTGTCACCTCCAGGACTTGTGCTGCCTTTAAAATGGTTTTCTGGAAAGATCCACAATCTGCTGTGTGGGACTATGAGCATCGTCCCATTTTTTAATGAAGGCAGTGCACTGGCTCCTGGGCAGCTGGTTTCATTTACCTCCCCTTTCATTTTAAAGAGAAACCTTTGCCCCTATTATCTGACCTCTTCTTCTGTTGCAGTTAATTACATTAAAGCCCACTTCCCAAAGCTCAGGAATTTCCGGATCTACTTTGTTGCCTGCTGCTACGGGGAGAGTCTGCTAGGAATTAGGGCACCCGCCTGCCGGGGACGCCAAGCGGGACAGATCCCCGCCGTCAGCGTGACACCCCGCTGCCACCGCAGCTGTGAAACCGAGACACCTCTGTTGACAGAGGCAGCCCCCATCCCTCAGCGTCTTCCCGAGGAGAGGGCAGAGCCCCCGTCTGCAGCACGGGACACAGGCAGCCCCACTGCTCGGAGAGGAGAGGCGGGATGCGACCTGCTCCCCCCAGGTAAAGACCCGCGGGCACAGGCAAAAGGCGCTGCCCATGTCCAGTCAACTAATAAAGAAGAATGACCGGCGGCTGCTCTCTGGCCCTAAAGGCACAACTCACACCCACGCCTTTTTCTGTCCCCAGACGAGGCGCCTCAGTCCATCCTGCCTGTGGGAGCTGTCTCTGGCCCATGCCATCTCCCCGGCCATGCCCTGGCGTCACCTGGGACCGTGCGGATGGCCAGGGCCACAATGCTGCCAGGGACCGTGCCCTCCATCAAACAGTGCAGAGGATGGCAAGCCAGTAGGCAAAGCCACGTCCTGGCCAGGTGTATTTACAGGAGGTGACGGGCCAGTGATTCCTTCATGCAACCCCTTCCTCCAGGGACAACCTCGGACGACACCACACTCTGAGCACTCACAGCAGGCTCATGCAAGCCCAAATATATTCACTTGAGATCTACAGTGGTGTGTGTGCGTGCATGCTGGGCAACTCTGCCCTGGCACCTTTGGGAAATCTGGCCCCTCATGAGAAACTCTGCCTGCACACTTGACATGTCTAAGCCAGAAGAGATGTCACCCAAAACCAAGCTCAGCAAAAACATTTTAAGCAGCATCCCCCACATGCCTGTGTGCCTGGCATCTCTGGTTTGCCACATAGGGCGGGTGACTTTCCATCTTGGAAGATAACGTGTCATCCTCCAAGGAACCAAAAGGATAGATGTCCACTGGCTTTGAAGATGCAAACATTTCCTTTCCCTGTAATTAATAGGGATTTGTGCTTCAGAAGCAACATTGCATAAGGATTTGCCCATTAAATATGCAAAACTTGGAGTTTTGCACAACACTTTGGATGGAAAACCAGCCGTACAGCCTGAGAGAGCATGCCCGAGGACGGGACCGGGCACGGCTGCGCATTTAAGCAGGCAACGAATCTTCACCATGTGCAAGGACACCAGCACCGAGCAAAGAGATGGCTGTGGGGAGGTTTCTGAGCAGTGGCAACCCGCATCCAGAGACTGAGGGGGTCCACAATAAACCGAGCATTTACTCATAACAAACTAAATTATCAGGGAAATGCCAAAAGTCTCGGAGCCACTGTCAGTCCCACCTGCCACACCCTCCTTTAGTGGAAATTCCCTGAGCGTTTCGAAGCCATTCACACATCCCTCTCCAGCAACACATTACTTCTGAAGAGGGATGCACACATGCTGAGTTACATATGTAAGTGAAACCATACTCAGAAAGGCTGGCGAGGTTGCTTATTTCCACCCAGTGTCACTTTTCTGTCAGTTATATTTCAGATATATTCTGTTTTCACACAGAGAATAGGGATCCCTGCAACGTATTCCCTTCTCAATTCCCTTTCTGGATCGAGCACAGCCTTTTCAAAGGAATAACAGATTTGACAAATTTATAACCGATATCCCAGGAGAACGTTAGGGTTTGGAACAGAAACGTTCATTCTTGAAGTTAAACAGCAGTTTAGTTTCCTGCTAATAATTTTCTTCTTGGATACAAAGGAACTTGTTTTGTTTTGTTTTGCTGTTTGGAGCGGAGGGATGAGACACTGTTTTGACATTTATTCATAAACAGTACAGAAGCCCAGCTCGGAGCTGTGGCCATTGCCAGTCCTTGCAAAAGCATACGGGTGCAATCTCCAGAGCTGCAGACCCGGGCTGGGGGAAAAGCAGCTCCTACACTGCAGTGGAAATAGGTCAGCAAGCAGCACCTCAGCTCTGCCAGCCCTCGCAGGGAGCTGCACCAGCCCTCCCGCTCACAGGCTGCTGCTTCAGCGCGGCCGCTCAGCACCAGAGCTGCCGAGCACTTTGCACTGATCCTATAAGAAGAGGTTTCCAAGCAGCCATGTGGGCAGATTCCCTGCACACCAGGATGAAACTCCACATCTGAAGCCTGGAAGTTTGTTCCTTCAACTCCTCCAAGGGCTTGGCCCAGTGATCAAGCCCTGTTGCAGAAAGCGAATTCCTGGACTAAGTAAATGTGATCAGCACATCGTGTAATCATGAAAAGCAAACTCCCAGCTGAGGCATAGATCATCATTGCACAGCATGAGCCTGTAAGTAACACAAATCCCTCTCCAAATGTTCTACTGCCCCCATTGCACCAAGCTGCTGCTGCCTGGCAGAGAAGCCCCAGGAGCCAAATACCCAAGCAAGCAACAATGCGGCACAGCAAGGCAAGCTAAAGTTCCTGAGGAACAGGACTTGCTGGATGCTGGTGCTATAAACCACTCTGAGATGCCAACAGTTGCTTCTGCAGGAGGCTCCAAGGTTAACACACCAACACAGAGACCCTGGGCACACTTCAAGAAAATCTCATATCTCAAAACCCACCAAGCTCTTTTTAAGAGCAGGTCTTCAGGTAGGCTTTACAAGAGGTGGGCTTTAAAAACCATGCTACTACACTTCAGCAAAGCAACCTGAGCACTCCACGAAGGGTCACTGTGGAGGACCAGTTTGGGGAACAAGCTCTGTGGGCATCACACACAAGCCCGCCTTCGACCTGAGACTCTGGCTCCCATGCTCAAGGTCAGTGCCCTGCATGGGAAGTTCAACTCAGCGTCAGAGCAAATCCTCTTTTTCTGGGAACAGGGTGGGTCTCTCCGTCGTTTTTGCTCCAGTGAATGCCTGTCTCTGAAATGTGCCCTTTCTGTGGCAGGAGAGAGTCCTGCCTGCTCCACAAACCCTTTTTCTATCAATTCTGGCGGTCGCTGCTGTGCTTGCACACTGCTTTGCCTTTGCACTGGCATTTGCACTCCCACTGCAGGGGGTCAGGGCCTGCTGGGAAACCTACCTCTGGCCACAGTGTGCAAACTGGGGCAGTTGGAAATAAGAGAAGGAAAAAGGTGTTTATGGATTTTCCCCCACATAAGAAAACTTTTCCCTCCACTTGGTGCTTGTCACACTCAGTGCTACAGCTCAGAGCTTGCTTTGCCTCTTCTGAACTGTAGTGCATGTTCATGTGTAGGAACCAGGGGAAATCAGGTATCAGCATCTCTCTGGCAGCCCCACTCGGGCCTGGATCTTGGATGTTCACATCCTTTCAATCAACATCTGCTTCTGGGGCCCGATCTGCAGTGCGGGACAGCGGCGCGTCTACAGACATCCATGACCCTTACAAAATGGAGCGGGGAATGGGGCATTACGCATTTACCATTGGACTAAGCTGCCTCTCCCTCCTCTGGGCCAAACCAGCTTAGCTTCAGGCCAGTGGTTGTGGGGAGACAGCGATCAGGGTGAAAGCAAAAGGGCTTTCAGATAGTCCCATACATCTGTCACACATGGCTTTTTCTTCCCTGTCATCCCCAGCCCGGCCACCACTGGAGCTGCCTGTCCTCCCAGCTGCCCCTGGGGACTCAGCGGTCCAGTGCAGGCTTTGTTTCCAGCAATCAGACAGACCAGGCATGCAGGCAGTGGTATTTATAGCCTCTGTCTCGGCTGCTGTGGTAAAGGTTAATACATTCCCTCCTGTATTTGTAAGAGAGGCTCCAGAGGGAGGGACAGAGCCTCTTTCACCTATTTAAATGCAGCAGGAGGACAGAGGAGGTGGCTGTCATGCGTCTGCCCCTTCTCACACCCAGACAGCGCATCAGCTCTGCTCCCAGCATCGTCTGATCACTGCAATTAGTGTTGGAAAGTAGAAGAAATGGTGAATACCTACTGTTGCCAGGTAACGGCATCCACCGTGCTGCCAGCCACTTTCATGAACCTACGGGAAACAGAGGAAGAAACCACATAAGCCCAATGTTGTCACAGGGCAAGTCCTAAAACAACCGATGCCCATCCTACATCACAGGATACCAAAGGCGGTCACCACACTCACAGACCCTCTTTGATGAAACCTTTGCATCCTGAAATGGAAAGAATAAATTATACTTAATACAAATGCTTGTAGCAAGCACAGCTGAGAGTAACAGAGTGAAACCCAACTGGCAGCAGAGCTCCGAGCATCATCTTGTGGCAGGTAGGGAGAGCTTTTGGAGCACAATAGCGTTTCAGGAACAAGATCTTGGGGTATGTATTCTATGACTGCAACAACCCTCAATAGCAATTAAAGAAAAAGTTTTAAATGCCAATCTTAAAAGGAGACACTTCTTCACCCAACGTGTATTTAAGCTGCGGAACTCCTTCCCTGGACTCAAGCAAGGGCTGGGAAAATGGAAGAAAATGGAAGAAAAAACCAGCAAAGTCATCAGATGCAAAGATGCCACCTCCAGCTCAGGAAGCGCCTGAGCATTGGAGGGTGTGAGGAAGGCTGGGCAAACACTGCTCCGTGCTTCCCTTTTTTTGATGCTCTTTCTTGGGCATTGGCTGTTAGGAAACTGATGGGATTCTGACGTGGGTGCACTTTCAGTCTGTCCCATTCCTATTACTAACCACAGCACTTCCAAGCCTCCTGATGGCTTATGACCCAACTATCTTAAAGACAACACACCTCCTCCAGACAGCTCCTATTTGAGTCAGACTTGAGGCGACACAGGTGTATCTGTTTATGCTGCTGATGCCAAAACCAAAGCAATTCCTAAGCTTGGGGACTGCATGGGACCACCACAGCAGCAGCCTCCAGCACAGGCTTGCTGCCATCCAAGACAGTCCCTCCCTGCCTCCCTGGTCCAGCAATCCGAACTGCACCTTGGAAAACTGCAGCTCCCAGGAGAAAGCCCAAGCAGTTACTCTATTCTTACACTTAGGAGCAGAGAGATGAAAACACACACAGGCACACCCCAAGTGGACAGGCACACTTTTCTGTTCAGTAGCGTAACGTGCGCTGCATAGCTGATGCATTTTGGAAGTGATAATGCATGCACGTGACAGGAGACATCGGCCTGAGCAAGTGAACGTGATGAGAAAGAAACCGATGCTGTATTGTCTTGGGCTGCTCTTTGATGCACGGGGATCCTGGGAACACAACAGGAATCACACAGCTGTCCTGACTCCACTGGGACACAGGGATGAGTGGCGCTGGGTCCTGCGACCCCAACTCCCCCAGGACAGCCCCATGACCGAGGGTGGGGAAGGAAAGGGAAGGTTTGTGAGGAGAGATGAGACCTTTTATCAGACCAGTTGTCATGGCAGGGAAGAACAGCAAGCTTTCCGGCACATGAGCCTCTAATCAGGTCTGAAATGAGAGCAGCAAACTTCAGGCTAAATATAGCTCAGAAACAATCATTCTGACTTTAAATTAATGACGATGGTCAATTATAGACCGGGACAAAAGGGCAGCTGGACCCTGTGAAGCATAAGAAGACACTGGCAAAGGCAGCAGTAATAAATCCCTGCAGACAGAGAGGAAAGAGATACAATTAGAAATGGAAAAACAATAACATGCTGTAAAACCCTGTAGCACTGATTCTGCTGCCTAGCAGTGCTGTAAGCTTCAGTTCCCAGGCTTGCCTTTCAGAAATGCTTTTACATCTCTCCTGAGGGTCAGGCCTGGGGGGGGCCAGTACCAGGGCACTGGTTTGGGGATGGTTCCTCCCCAGCTGAGCAGGGCGAGGAGAGTAGCTGGACCAGCCGTGGTGCAGCCAGAGGGAGAGGTGCGAGCTCCCCGCAACTCACGTGGGTCATCTGGTGAAAAGGGGATTTTGCAAATATTGTTCTACAAAACTAAGTGCGCGGAAATATGCCAAAAGGATCAAAAAACCCGATTCCCAGGTTTTAAATGCTCAGCACAGGGACTGCTGCCTAAAATATAACACATGAAGTGTACAAGAGTGAACTAATGAAATCTAAACTAAAATTATGAACACAGTCGATATTGGGTTTGAAGATTGATACATTGCAATTGGGTTTGAAGATTAGCCCAGCTTGCTTTCTAACCTCAAATGCTTTATGTTCTGGCTGCAAAATAAGCCATCCTGGACTTTACTAAATCACCTCTTCAGGCTCAGCTTGGCACTCTCCACTCGCAGTCCAAAACCCTGAGCAGACTGAGCTTCGAGGAAGAAGCTCTCTGGTTTTCCTTGCCACTTCCACAGTGCCTACAGCCCTGCTGCAAACAGCCGCTACAGCAGACTTTGAGCAGGGACTGAAAAGCAAAGCAAATGCTCAGTATAACCTCCGGCATCCCTGGAGCAGCAGAAGCAGGACATCCGTCTGTCCCATCTCCCAGGTCTCTAGGAAGCTAATTGACCTGTTGTTAAAAAGCTCCTGAGAAAACTTTGTTCTAGGACACAGGCATCACTCAGGCAGCGCAGTAAAGACCAAAAGTAAAAGGCCCTGACTTGCTTAGTGTTCCTCTTCTGTCTCCGTAAGAGTGAAATAAATTGGTTAGTTCTGGTAATTTTCAAATTTTACCATAAAAGATGCATATCTAGCTCAAATTTTGCTTTCTATGCTTGTTTTTCTTTCCTTTTTTTCCTTTCTTTTTCCTTTTATTGAGTTTTTTGCAGGATGAAGTTCAAAAGTTCCTGGTAAAACTTCAAGTCCTGCCTTAATGGTGGAGTTGTGCCTGGAGCATCCCAGATGACTTGGGCAACAGTCTCTACCCTCCAAAGGGAACCTAGAGCAGCTCAACAGCCAACAAATGGTACTGCACGAGCAAGAGATGAAAGCCCAGCGCAGGTGGAGATGCAGTGATGCACAGGTATCCGAATATCCTCGGCTTAGGAATACAGATGTTACTAATCCCTTTATTCCTGTAGCACCTGTGCTGCTCAGACCACAGATTTTGAGGCCCGTGAAGATCCATATGGTCCAAATGACCAGCGCTGGCACATTTTTATCTGGGATTTCCTGGACTGCGCGATGTCCGTGTGTGCAGTGCGGCGCAGGCAGAGCAAACCAGACGCTTCCGGGAGGGCTCAGATCCCTGCACATGTGCTGCACAGATGGGCTGGGCCGGCACAGTAAATCTGCCGTTTTCCTACACATTGGCCTTTCTCTGCGAGCACCAATCGACCACGCAGCACATGTGCGGTAAATCCCCGCCCCAGAGCAGTGGGACAAGTTGAGCCCATGCCGTGCAGGCAATGTGGGCAACTACTGTAGCAATGCCCCATAATTCGGATGGGTGGCAGCCCCAGGGCACATCCACCCTGGCTGGACTTCCACATATCAGAAACCTGGGCAAATATAAAAGTCCTCAAAATCTGCTGGGGCAGCATCTCTAGGAGGGAAAACAGAACATGTCAGAGGCCCGTGGAGGAACAGGAGCCTCGGGCAGTCTGTGATACTGAGGATTAGACAAAGTCACTGAGCTTGGATATATCCATCTCCTTATCCTTGCAGCTGCCTGTGTGCCAGCACCCCATGCCAGCATTACTACTGGTGGGGCCTCTGTTGAGCTAGAACTGAGGCTCAAGCTTGCTTTTAATTAAGCACTGAGAACAATGTAATTTAACATTGATTAGTCACCCAAACAGTTCACAGCTCTGCCCCAGAAATGGTAATACTGGCATAACATGGGACAGCACCTCAGAGGTCAGGAGCGAGCTGTGGGAGAGGGAGGCAGGAGAGCTGCAACACCACGAGATGGTACATGCACCACAACTCTATATTGTGAAACCACCTCTCAAATCCAGCCTTTCCCAGAGCATCTCCCATAGCCACAGCTCCCAGGACCGCAACTTTCACTGGAGTGTGGGCACACCTCTGAAACAGATCTCCTGTCCTGATTCAATGCTTGCCAGTTGTTCAGCACCTACTGCAACCTTAAGTAAATTGTTCCCATGGTTAATTAGCCTCCAAGTATGTTATTTCTCATCTGAATGTGTCTGGCTTCAGCTTCCAGCCACTGGAACTTCCTAGGCTTATTCCTGACACATTAAAGAGCCATCTGCATTTGGAAATCTCTTTCCCATGCAGGTAATTGCAGATTGTCACCCTTTAAATAATGAAGTGATCCTGTAACAAAGAATGCAGCTGCACAAGGAGACAAGTTACCATCACACAGGCTCCCAGGTGGTTTAACATCATCGTTTGACTCCTGGGTGCTAGACTTCACAAACACGGGTTATTTCACCTGTTACTCCCTGGAGTAGTACAAAAGCAAACTGACCCCCCCCCCCCCAAGCCCCAAATGTAGACCACACGCGG